GAAACACTATCGCTAAGGGCCGGTGCAACGCAAGAGCCTATACAGACTCCCGACGTTTGCAAAAAAAAAACCATTTTGCCACCCAATGAATGTCGAATTAAGGTAGAAATGCAGCATCTTAAGAAAACTTTCTATAAGTACACCACTTGAGTTCCGGAACGAGAGCTCACCGCAGGACTCAATGCATGACAGGTAAGTACATGTTCATGGGGAAGCGAGTAAAAAAGATCTTGAATGTCCACGCTAAAAACACTTTGATTGGATAGTTCCTTTGTCCTTGGTACTTATTTTTACCTCTGAAAGCCCTAAGGAATATGTGTTGCAATTTTTAGACCTTTCCCTATTTTTGCAAACAAACTACCTGTGCTGGTCATATTCACCCCGTTCCAAAAAAGGTTTACTGCAATATACGTCCTCGCACTCTAAAGTCGTAAAAATAGACATAGCTCTTGTCTGCCTTACTTCAGCCTTAAAGAAGTCATGTCTCCACTGTGGTAACTCGGGCAATGGAGGAAGAGAACGTGCACGAGCGGACGGGCGAGCTCGAGCAATCAGGAACCGGCCACCATCGGGCAAGCATCGTCTAGCACAGCCTAGCCTGTATAAATATGTAAATAAACCCGCGATTTACTACATCCACAACAAAAAATTCAGTTTTAACGCTCAAATTGAGAGGCTTACCAGCGTCTAGGTTTCCAGCGCAGGTGCTAAGTGAGGTGCCAGGAACTCTGATAAAAAAGTAAAAGGATATGAAGAAGCTGCCCGAAATATCGACAAAAAAAGAGTGGTGGCGGTTCCGTATAGACACAGAATATCTCACAATCTCAAACTGGTAGCCAATTGGTTCCGAGTCCCCTTAGTGATGTCAGACCTCCAAGAAATGAGTCAAATTTATTCTAAACTTTGAGCAAAAGCAGAAAATATTACAAAACACAGGTGCCACACAAAACCCGTTATCCCCTTACGTGCGCTGTTCAACCAGAGCAGTTTATAGCATTCCCCTTTCCTGTGGTAGATCCTACGTAGGGCAGACAGGACGGTGTATGAATGTCCGGTTATGGGAGCACAACCTTTCTCTTAAATTCAATGGTGGGGAGTCACCTACCTCTGCATTGTCAAGCGTGTAAGTGTGCACCTTGTTCACAAAAAAAAACTCGATAATTGGCAGATTCACCGAAAAATACACTCGGGAAATGTTTTAAGCTTTTAGTATACTCCGCTTAGGCGAGCGTTTTGTCAGCCGTCCTCCTGTTGCTTTAACCGACAATGAAAACGCCTTTCTACAGTCGTCTGAGTGTGGTTAATGGTGTGTGTCCTCCGCGTGTTCGGGTGCCCCCGTGCGAGTGTGGCCTCGGCTCGAGCTAATACCGAGATACAATAGTAAGGGTGCAGGCGAGCTGGTGGATGTTAACCATGTTGAATATACCTGAGACTGGGGTAGAAAAACATAAATATAAGGAGGAGGACTGAATAAACCTGGTAGCTATATAAGGCTATATAAGGAGGAGGACTGAATAAACCTGGTAGCTGAGTTTGAGACGTCGTCCTGTCCCGTTCTGTTTCTTCGACTTTTATGTTTTTCTACCCCAGTCTCAGGTATATTCAACATGGTTAATACCGAGGGCTGTTCCTTTGCCTTCCTTCAACACATCCAGTTGTGTTTTTGCGCTTGTCTCTTCTCTCTTCTCTCTTCTCTGTTACTTTCTCTTTGTGCGCAATTTTAACCATGTTGGGTATCCGATCACCAGAGCAGCGGGTCAGGTTCACGTCGACTGATGACGTGCCCTTGAGCCGTGCAATATTATGGGCGCAGACGCATTCGTATATGTGTTGAACTTCGCTGAGTGAGTCATCCTACTATTTCAAGTAAAGCACCACCAGTTTCGTGCTGCAGTGGATTGTGACTCATCTTGGCCGGCTGGGTATTAGCGATGTGCGCGGCCAAAAGCGTCGCTGTGGTCAGCTTTCAACAATTGGCCAAACCGTGGGCATATGAGCATCGTCAGATTGTGAACTTTGACGGTGTTAGTTTCGGATTGCGATGGCTCCTAGCTTCTACTGCGCTTTTGAAACACACCATCGAACTCGTCGTCGCCCCCGATGGTAGGTAGCCAGAATAATAACTAGTGACGTCACGGCGAGGCAAATCCCGGTCGTGACGTCACGGAGTGAAACCATAAGAGAGCGCCACCGAAACGTCTCGGCGCTAATAATGTGTACACTAAGGCGAGAGAGAAGTTTGCAGCGGGCATTGCAAGCCAGCAAACAATTATTCATAAAATCCCTATCTAGAGACCTGCGGCAGAAGGTGCTCCGACTGGTCAGCATAGTAACAATGCCCCAGCATCTCCTTAACCCTAACGCCGTCAGAAGCACAAAAAAAAAACACCGCCCGAACGTTTTTTTTTTTTTTTTTTTTTTTTTGGGGGGGGGGGGTGGGTGGGGTGGGGGGCGGGTGGGGTGGGGGGGAGGTATTTCTCCAGAAATGTGATGAAATACATTTCTTCTGGATTGTATCGTGATACAAAGAAACATTCCAAATGTATTTCGATACATTAATACATATATATTGGTAAAAAAAATGTATTGCGATACCGACATACAGATACGAAATGTATTTCTGAAATGCTATCGCGATACATTTGTATCGCGATACTGCCCAACGCTGCAGGTCTCTAACTCATATTTTGGACGCTGAAGTGTAACCGACCTATTACGTCATATTACATGTTTCAATTGCGAAAGTGGTTCCGCACGTTTTTTGCCGACCGGGTGAATAGGTAGGAGCTTGGTTGAAACAACTCAAACAGCCAATTACCGCCAGTTGTCTCGGGGAAACAATTGTTTACTGGTTAACAAAATGCAAAAATAAATCATCCTGGAGCTTATAAAAAACGAACACTCACGGAAAACATTGAAACCACCAAAGTACACGAAGTCGCTCTCAATTAGGCTCTCACTGCGCATGCGAGAGGATCTCAGGTATGTCCCTCCATATTAAAGGTTATTAAACATTATTTTGTAACTTTCCTCTCTTTGAGATAATGAGGAAAAATTGGCCTTGTTCACCCTGGTGGGTGCTGTACTCCGGTCAAATGCTCGATACCCTTCCTTCAATAGTCAGCGCCTCTTTACTGCCATGGGCAGCAGTATGCAAACATCCCGGGGATTTTATATTTAAACACCAAAAAGTTTTTATTGGCATGACCACTACGCGGGATAAATACTATCAGGAAAAACTATAATAAACTTTCATACCACAAAAATCTCCCCACAAAAAAAAACACGAAAAAACAAGGCGTGAAATAAGTTTTGTCGCGTTATCCGAACAACACATAAAGCGAGCTGACGAGAGGAGGGATCTGCGCCGTCGTCTGCTCTTTTTCCTCCTGGCTACGCCACAAACGATGATGATGATAGCTAGCAAAGCGTTCCCCGTATTTCGCGCACGCCGCGAACTACAGAGAACGATTTTCTAGCTCTTTAGCCCTTTATTGGTGCTCACTAAACCCCTCTTGGCTGACGGTATCTGATAATGGGTGACGCGCATTTTACACCGGGGGACCTGTACTCGTGTACCAGGTGGCCCGTATACGTGTACTGGAAACCGGCATAGACGCTTTGCAGCAGCTGTGCATGGACGCCGCCACAACTGACCTTCAGTTTTTGTTTCCTCTTATTTCGTTTATTTCACTTCATCATTACCATAGCAGGCCAGGTTAGTGCCACATTAGATCCAACTGTGTCCTTTTCTAAGGCATCGGCCTTCGTGGAGGATCGTCAACTACCGTTTCAGTTGCTCGGCATCTCGGTAAGACAAGAGAAGGTCAGCAATGGCGGCTGTAATCTGGCGCGTGTGTGAAGCGTCTATAAGCATCTTTGTTGACTGTTTGTCAATGGTGGCCGTTAGGGGCCCGTATATACCGGTATAAAGACGTACACACTTTCGTCTAAAGGATTATTATAAAGAAGTCAAAATAAACCAAAGCAAGTGAAAGCACAATCAGAAAACGTGTTTCGTCTTAAAGGACACATGCAAAGGAAAAAGAAAAAAACATTTTTTTAAACAGCTTAGATGGAAAGAGAATATCATAAAACAATTTTGCAACGAAGGAAAAAAATTAGAGCTATATTTACGGCGCTATACGAATTTGTAGTTGGCGCCCGCGCGAGCCGCCGCTGGTCGCGAGGTGGGCCTGTGCGCCGCCGCAATGCACCACCGCCACCTCAAAGTCACGCGGCCGCCGCACGCTGAGCATTGTACGACGCCGCTTCAACGCGTTTCTCCACTCCGCCGTCGCCGCCGCCGCACAAGTTCGTCCGCTTCGGGGCGCCGCCGACGTCGTCTGACCGACGCACAGGTCTATCACGTCTACTTGCGCTTCTTCAGGAGTTTCCTTTGGGCTCTAAAAGTTACTTATTAATCATAGTTTTTTTGCTATACTTAAACAAAGATGAATAAGTTACTTTTAGAGGCCATAGGAAGCTTCCGAAAGTGCGCAAGCATCACGTGATAAAGAAAGACTAGTCACGTGGTAAATAAGAGCCACTCTTCCGCGGCGCCCGCGGGCGCCAACTACAAATTCGTATAGCGCCGTAAATACAGCTCTAAATTTTTTTTCTTCTCGGTAAAATCGTTTTGTGACGTCCTTTTTTCATCTAAGCTGTTTAAAAAATGCTTTTTTACTTTGTATGTCCTTTAAACGTCTTTGATAAAAACGATTTGGTGGGATAGGATATATCCTAGGCGAACGGTGTTCCAGATTTCTAAAACTTTTATGACAATTTGGGTATCACAGCTATGCAAGAACAACTGCAATAGGACTGCAAAACATATAAAGTAGTTATAACGCAGCACTGTACAATTTCGTAGCTTAGAAAATTGGTGGTGTTAAAGGATGTGATTTGAGAGAGAAAAAGAGGTTTCAGCAAAAAAAACAAAAAACGTCTCATATGATATGAACAATCAAGCTTGCGGGTCCTTCAGTGTTCATTTAATTTTACAACTCGCTCTTCGGGTAAGGGCAGTCATCAATCGTATAGTTGAACACCGGACCTTTGCAGTGCTCTTCGAATTTTCTCAGGCATCTTATTGGAGGATCCATAAAGCCCTCTCTGTTCACCATCAGGTTACAGGCTGAAAAATAAAAGCACCTTTAAATATAACAACCAGCTGTTGTCCATCAACGATTTGCACTTTATCCTTTGTTCAATACTGCGCTCAAACAAAACGTGAAAGGAGTCTTTCCTTTGTATATCCAGGATTTCAACATACAGAACGACTGCAGCACGCTGATGTATTGAAAAAACCGCAATTGTGAAAAAAAAAAAAAAACTTTTGAGGTCACGTGTTCTCATCTCTCGCCAAAAAAATAAACAAAATCGTTATTAACTTATTACCTTCAAAACAAATCATAAAACGTCCTTAAACGGATACTATAGCTAAATTTCAAGTTCACAAAACAAGGCTGCAGCAATCGACGGGAAGCTGCAGAACCCAAAAACATCACTGATACAGTGATGTCTCTAACGGATAACCGTATTTCGGGAAAATGAATGGCGCGATTGTACAGAGTCGACGAGCCCCAACGAGACATTCCCTTCCCCCTTCTTTTCGTTTCCTCGAGATGATTAACCGAAGCCAGGAGGACAAAAGCGAGGCCGCTTCGCCTCATGTTCAAATGTTCCAAGAGGACTGTGACGTCACAGTCCTCGCTTGATTGAGCCCCTTTCCAAAACTAAGGCCATCCGTTTGAGTAATCGATGTATGAGTGTGGTTTCAGAATTTGTAGGGACCCGTACAACGCGCTTCGTAGGCCAAATTTTTTCAAATCCAATTTCCGGTTCAGCATCTTTTTATGGTAGTGCTGCTGAGATGTACTTCAAAAGGTATAGCGGCATGCAGATACTGAGATACAGGCATTTTATGGACAAAACACGAATATTCAGGTACATTTGTTTTAACGCAATGGGATACCACTGAAATACTTCTGAAATAACGGGAAAAAAGTAACTTGGGATACAAATATTGATACATACAAAGATACATTATTTCCCGAACGTGGCGCTTGCAGAGAGTGCTCGCGTTCAGGCCACTGTTTACGTCATATTGGGATTTTGTTGCAGGACCCCGGCGCCAAAAATGTGGTTTTCAGTTTATTAAAAAACAAAATAATTTTCGACAACAAACGTAACGAAACGTTTCAGCCTAGCAGAGTGTCTATATAAAACGTTACGGTGTAAATACACTTCGCTAATCAGATACAAATGTAATTTTAAAATGTACCTCCGTACAGAAATACACTTATATGAAATTATTGATAACATACTGCGATATATTTGTTTCGCGCTACTGTCCTGCCCTAATCTATTGCAACCGTTTAGTCGTTATTTATGTTTTGTTGTGTTATCCCGTGTGTAAAGCACTTGCATTTTATTATCTGCTTCATTATTCTTTGTTTAATAGAAAAAAACACCTTAAACATTTTAGCGTGATACTTCGATTGAATCGTAAAACCGTTGAATAATATACAGGCCAATAAGCATGGATATGACAAAAACAGGTATTCCGTGGTGCATGCCTTACATAAGTTCCCTTATAAACGACGCCTCTGTCATAGATGTTATCAGTACACGCTGGAACGAGGCAACTCACATCTGGAACGCAGAAATTTGAAGCAAAAAGGCTTTTTTTTATATATGTACTCTTTTTAGGGGTAGGTGTCGGCCTCATAAAATTTGCTTGAAGTGTGGTCACCAAAAGTGACCTCAACACACAAACGGGGTCTAATTTCATGCAAGATCTATTATGGCGGCGGGCGAGGAACTGCTCCATCAGGTAATTTCAAGGAACAGCCCGGGGGCAGGCCGCTTGCTGGATAGTGGACACGACAAACATTTTGAAGGCCAGCCAGTCTATACTTATCACCACCCTTTAATATGAAGGTGTATGAATGGCGTTCCAAAGCAAGGGTTTAAATGATGCAATTAGTAAACACTCAATGTTTCGACGGTATGAAGAAGAATCTTACAATGGGCCACCTGAACAAATCTACCACGCAGAAAAAAACTCCAGTCACACTACTGGACTAGTAACTGTTTAATGCTCCTGCTTTTCTTTTTCTTTTTGCTTGTGATTGATGATTTCTTTTTTATTTTTATCACGTAATTCGTGTTTCCTTTTGTTTTTCTTTAGGTCAGTTTTCTATTCTTTTTTCCTGGATTTTGGCAGTTGCGCATTCTTTTTCAGGGGTGAGGCTGGCGTATTTTTCTTTCTTTTACACTTCCCCGTACACCATAGCTCTCCCCAGGAACGCTTGCTTCTGGTGGTAGAATGCAACTGAAGGGCACTAGCACATTTCTCCCCGTTGACCTTGACTGCAAGGATAAAGGGAAAATCGCATCGCTGGAAACTTTGCTATGTTGTCTCCTGACCAGCAGCGATTATGCCCTTGAGCGAGCCACCACCCCTGCTCGCGAACTGCTCCCCCCCGCTTCCCCCTATTGAGCGCTACATCATGCAGTACTTCTTAGAATGCCACCAGAGTAGAGCTCCCATGAGGTAAGACAACGATCCGGTGTCCAAAATAAACTTCATTAGCAATGTACGATATTTTGAATGCAATGTTTCATTATAGTCGAGCACTTATGTATAGCTAGGCTTCTATTCACACATACTAAGTGTGTGCGCGGTCTATGCTACCAGCCGATAGGACCAATCAAACTTCAAAAGCGCAATGTTGCGGTATTCTTTATGGCTATCTTTGTGTTCTATTATCGCTTAATCATATAATATATAGAGACGATCCAGTAACTTGCGCGTAAAGTATTGTGCACGTGATTGTATCTATTTATGCATTTGACTGCGCTCGTACGTATCATGAAAACAAAGCACAGATATAAAATATTAACATCTCCCTATAGCTAACGGAACTAACACGTAATTATAAAACGTTGTAGCAAAAGTCTTGTAATTAATTTGCGCCACAAATTATTTACCGGAAATGAAACGTTCCTGTTACAAAAAAAAAAAACAAGAAGCAAAATTGAATAGAAATAAACCGTTATCGTAAGGGGTGGTCGTTCAGTAACATATAATATTTCATCACTAGCAAAAACATTCATTGTTAGGGTAACTTTTAATTTTCCAATTTTGTGAATAGAGCACTTTTAACTTTGCGTTCCAAAGCGACATCGGTGGAAGCCCTGCGCGGACCGAACACCACACTACCTTTAGATAACTAAACACGCCAGCCACCTCCTGGAGAAAAAAAAAAATGTGGGCCACCAATCTCTCGGAGCACGAGAAATTGAAGGAGGACCGAAACTAAGGCGAGGAACATCAAATTCGGAACTAGGGTGGGCTAGAAGGGTGAGAGCAGTCTCGCGACTCATGCTACCGAACGCCGCGCAAACTAAGTAGGGGAAGCAGAACCAACTTCGCCTCCCAGGACTATTCTCCATTTCGCGCTAAGTGGGACCGCAGCCGATGCTAGGACTCGATGGAGCCAATCAGGCAGCGGCAAAAGTGCATCATCACAGTGCTAGTCGTCTTAGTGCGTCATTATAACCAATTAAAGCCAATCACGCCGTGTAATAGCTCCGCGATCTTGCACATGTTTGTGCGTGATTCGTTTAGCCGCTGATAGCAAACCAACTAAATCAACGAACGCCATGACAATGCACTTTTGGCGCTCCATGATTGGCTCCTTTAGATCGAAGTGTCGTCTCAGGTCGGGGTTGAAGTGCAAAGCAGTATAGAAGAGTTGACGACGCTTTTTTCGCCCAGTGCGCGAGAGGGCGAAAATGAGTGAGTGAGGGTACAAAGCTGAGAGCAACTCTGACGGGCGTGTTCTTAAAGACCGACGTGCAGTTCGCGCTTTCTACTTTTGCCCGCCTCCTTCTTTCCTATATCGTCTACACTTTTTACCTTGCCCCAACTGTGCTCCCCTCGCAGCTTAGGAAAGGAGGAGCGCTAAAAAAAATTATCTTTCCTATAAAAAAAACAAAAAAAAACGAGGTTGTACGTCGGCCTTTAAACTCTACTCGACTTAAGTCCAACTTTACGCAGTCGAGCGGAGAACAGATGCACACCTCAACTCATGAACTATTTAGCTTTAAAGGCGGTTCTCGGCAAGCCCTCCACAGACTAATTCGTCGAGATTTTGTACTCCAATCAACCGCTCCCGTGGATGTCTAAGACGGGTTTATACCACATGTTTTGTCTAAAACGTAATTATGGCAAAAAATATGAATACATATATGGTCGTTATCTTTAAAAATATTGAAAACCCAATTTAAACTGAAGGCACCAATTCAGTGCTTGAAAAGCACTGAAATGGTGGATTTGAAGCGTTTTTGTGGCCAGCTTGAATTTATATATTTTTTTTTTTACGTAAAACAAGCAGAAGGGCTTGCCAGTCTGTCTACAGTTGGCAAAAAGACTTTCGCATTCAAGTACGTTTTGAACCTTCTTGTGTCCTGGTATCTTTGAAGTGTTTTCTACATTCAGCTATTCCAACCGTATACATTGGTAACTGGCCCATTTTTATCGTTAGCATCCTTTGAAATGCTTTTGCAACGTGAAAAATGTTGAACATGATTGTAAACCTGAGACTAAGGCAGAAAAGAGAACACAACAGAAGGTAGTAAAAGCACTTTGCACTCTGACTATTTTTATGAAAAATGTGGGTGTCCACAACAGCCTACGCCCGATGAGGCCCGCCTCGACCGCCCCGAACGAGATAATTCAGCGGACGATACGGAGGAATCGTCCGCTAAATCATCATACGGAGCGAGAAGATACGAATGATTTCCTGTCTCAAAGTTGGATTATCCGGAGGCAGCGCTTTGTGCTTTCACCGGTCCATCACCAACAAACAATCCTTGAGCTCGCCGCCCAAGCTATGCCTCGTGACATCTTCTTCTTCTATTCACCTGGCCTCCGCGTGCTTATGCCCGGCCCGCTCTTGACCACGATCCTCACTCGTCCGCCCCTTCAAATGTGAGACTGCGAGGGCTCTAGAACCCGGATTCTTCTGAGCCTTCAACGAAATTCCCTGGCCGAACACGGCCGCGTCCTCGACGGCCACTGGAACAGCGACGGGCGTGGAATTAATTTTTTTCTGGGCGAAGACG